GGGTTTGCAGCGTTCAGGAGCCAAAATGTTCAAGTCGCAGGGTGTTTGACAACCAAGGTACAACTGTATTCAAGCTATTTTTAAAAAATGCTATGTGGAAGAGAGACTTTATAATGGAGACATCTCCCCCCACCCCACCCTGTTTGTGCCCATGATGGCGCATTGGGCTACACCTGACTGAAACTAAGCAGACTTGGGTCTATATGTCACCTTGGGTTCCATGATGGAAGAATGGTGGAATCCAAATGTAGGGTGGGATGGTCATCATCATCATCATGAAGCTGGAACTTCTGTGTTAAAATCAGCTAGCTTAATAAATAAGTACTTGAGAAAGTTTATGCATCTGACTATGTCTGCATTAAAGGGGACGCAGGTGGTGCTGTGGGTAAAACCTCAGCGCCTAGGACTGCCAACCTAGCAGTTCGAAAGCACCCGTGGGTGCAAGTAGATAAATAGGGACCGCTTACCAGTGGGAAGGTAAACGGCGTTCCGTATGCTGCGCTGGCTCGCCAGATGCAGCTTGTCACGCTGGCCACGTGACCCGGTAGTGTCTGCGGACAGCGCTGGCTCCCGGCCTGTAGAGTGAGATGAGCGCACAACCCTAGAGTCTGGCAAGACTGGCCCGTACGGGCAGGGGTACCTTTACCTTTTTATGTCTGCATTAATGTGTCAAAGCAATTCTACCCGTAGGCAAGTAAGTGTTCAGATTTGTGACTCCTTTTTGTCTCTGCTGTCACAGGAAACCTTTATAGGAAGAGTAGCAGGATCCCATATTAGCAGGATCCCATGATCCAAGGTAGCTACAAACTGTAATAATAATAATAATAATAATAATAATAATAATAATAATAATAATAATTAGACCTGTCAGTAGCTCTTTTGTTGAGTGTATTGTTTGTATGTTGTGTTTGTAGGTGAAATATTCATACAGAATCACTGAGAGTTAATATTTGGTTCTTTTATCTGTGGTCTTCATAATTTTGCAGGTAATTAGTAGGCAGCTACATGGTATATGCCAACTATGGACTGAGTAGTATAATAGATGAATGAAAGTATCAATCCTTATACAACATATAGCCAAACGTTTAAATGACAGAGAAGTCCTCCAGCGGTTCCCTCTTGGAAGAAGATATGAAACTACATTTCTTTGATGTGGAATTGCTCCGTTGCTAGCTCAGCTAGATGCTTGAGCAGAATGGGACATTTCTTCTCAGGGTCTAATAATGCATGGATGACCAGCACATACACCCAAAGAGGCTTTCCCTGATGTCCTGCCTCCTGCTGAAATCAGGTTTGCGCTAAACCTATTCTAGACAACAGAATGCATTTTTCAACACTAATTATGTCATGGGAATGATTTGGGAACCCCCAGGGGATGTACTCTGTCTCTTGAAATATCCCCAGATTCACCCTCCCGACTTCTTCCCCTGATCACAGCATTCAGCACTCTGCTGCATGGCCACATTTGAACCTTTCCCTGGGTAGCATTTGCATGGTGAATATGATATGTGATGCTAATGATGTAGCTGCAGCATTCTCTATTTCCTGTTATTGTGATGTTTTTAAAAAATGTGCAGCCAGAGTCTCAGAAATCTCCTCAAGTCCATTTCTGTATCTGTGGAGGAGCTGGGTCACACATTAGGTTGTATGAGCAAATACGTTCTCAGGGATGGTAATGCGAAGAAAATTCTATAACATCTGATTCAGCCCACACTTTCCTGTCTCACACCTTAATGTGTGCCAGTTGGAAATTGCTGTTAGATTGGTTCTGAGCCTTCTTTGTGAAAGAATCTATATTAATGGACTTCTTAGAAATTGGTCTACACTTTGTATTAGAAAATGATTGCAAGTGCTTTCTTAAATTGTGTTTTGAAGGAATAACTGATACATAATCGCATTTGATGATGAGTCTCCTTTTTATTTATTTATTTTTGCCAGGATGATAGGCTACTTAAAAATATAACAGCCCTGCAGGATCAAGTGAAGAGTTCATCTAGTCTAGCAGTCTCTTCCTAACATTGGCCAGCTGCATGCTTCTGGAAGGCCCACCAGGAGGCTAAATTTTACAAGAAAACAATGCGGTGGTGTGACCACTTTTCTGAAAGATGCTGTCTTGAATATTGCCTCTGGTCATAGTGAACTGCTGTCCCATAGAGATCCAGTTCTTGCACTTGGATAAAATCAACACTCATATGATTTGAGGGTAACTACATTATTGGGTTTAATTCTGTAGATAAGTTTTATTATTCATGCAGATTATGCACGTGTGTGACTCCTAGGATGAATCAGAACACATAGTAATAAATATCTCTGCTTAAGATTGTTTCTTGAAATAAAGTCTTAACAGTTCTCACTTCATGATACTGGATTCTTAAATGCAATTGGCACTATCTACCCACCTTCATTTCTGTGAAAGGTTCCCCTACCCTGCAAAATTGTTGCCTCTTTTGTTAAGAAGTGTGGAGAAAGGATTCCTGGTAGAGTTGCTCTGATGTATAAAATGGCTTTTCTTTGTCCATATGTAGTATTAGTAAACACCCTCTAGTGTGAAACTTACTCTGAAGTCCTTACATGTACAAGATATTTCAAAAGTGCAACTGGTTTCCTCATTTATTCAGTCACACGTGGACTTCGGAAATATTTGATCTTTCTGTAAAGGATACATAAAAGCATGCCTTGCCCTATTTTTCATGGAGCAGCATATTTGAAGTGGATAGTTTTGTATAGTTGGAGTGGCCATGTGTTTTAGGCAATGGTTTGCAGCCGTGCCAGGGGAGCCACTGCAGCAAAAGTGAGGGACAAGTCTCTGAAGTGTGCTATGTTGATCCCTGGGCAAGTAAGATGTGCCTTCTTTAGATTGTTGCTTCTGTCTTCAGAACCAAGTCCCTGTACGCTGCAGAACAGTTTTCAGGAAACCTAATTGCTTGACCAAAGCATAATTAGAAGTTCATGGTGGAAATATTGACTCGGACATAAAAATATTGATTGCATATGATATGTGATTAATTAAGAGATCTGTGGGGAACAGACTTCTCATTCATTGTTCTAGAAGTGCACCAGCAATTTTGCAAATGGGCCATCTCTTTTCATTTTTGTCCCTTCTGTTGTCTCTATACCCACCCCACCCAGCCCATTACTGTACAGAAGCATTTTGATTCAGCTAAATGTGAGGTTCAGTTTTAACACTTACTTGCTTACTTAAAGGTAAAAGGTAAAGGTACCCCTGCCCGTACGGGCCAGTCTTGCCAGACTCTAGGGTTGTGCGCCCATCTCACTTAAGAGGCCGGGGGCCAGCGCTGTCCGGAGACACTTCTGGGTCACGTGGCCAGCGTGACATCGCTGCTCTGGCGAGCCAGAGCCGCACACGGAAATGCCGTTTACCTTCCCGCTAGTAAGCGGTCCCTATTTATCTACTTGCACACGGGGGTGCTTTCGAACTGCTAGGTTGGCAGGCAACGGGAGCGCACCCCGCCGCGGGGATTCGAACCGCCGACCTTTCGATCGGCAAGCCCTAGGTGCTGAGGCTTTTACCCACAGCGCCACCCGCGCCCCACTTGCTTACTTAGTCAAGCCCTTATTAGACATTAAAAATATAGACCATCATAAAACATCCATTTATAAACAACTCTCCCAGTTTGCAACTAATAATTATATCTCTAATTTCCTCCTCTTTTACCCTTGGCCACTCCTTTAGTTTATCTAGTTTGTTATTGTTGGACTCCTTTCCATTCAATTTACTATGTAGATAATTAAATATGGAAATGAAATACTGCAGTTGATGGGACAGCTGGTTGGTCGCCAGCTTTCAGACCTCCATATACTCTCAACCAAAACACTTTGTTATTTTTGTTTTGAATTGAGTCAGTTGGGACCATTTTTGGGTGGCATCTTTTTGTTTCTTTTTGGCCAGAACTAGGTGATATTTTCTTTTTTTCATCAAAGTAGGAAGGTTCTAGTTTGGTATGGTTATCTTTGGAAATTTGGCACAATTTTTAAAATTATTTTTTAAGTTGAAGACATTCATCATTGAACCAGGGACTAGTTCTGTTTTTAAGTACCCTGACTTTTGGTGGAGTGTTAAGCTCTTCAAACATTTTGAAGATTTTGCTATATACTTCCAGAATGTCAGTACAAGAATTGATGTTCTTTATATTAAAGAGTAAAGGTAAAGGGATCCCTGACCCCGGGTTCCTAAAAGCAACTAAGTTTTTGCCCCACTGCTAGAATCATTTCCTGGGACGATTTTAGTTGGGCCATTTGCTCATGTTGACAAAAATTGTGTTGTTACGATTAGTTATTTCTAAATCAAAGCTTAAATTTATAGACATCAGCAATGGTTGGTGATTGTTTTCGGTGCGCGTCCCAATTCTAAAGTTCACTATCATATTTACAATGTCACAAAGGACCAGCGTATAGTTGATGACACTACACCCTGGTGTGGTGGGGGTATGTAAATTCCCTGTTTCTATCACCATCTATTGAACCATTCACAATTTGTAAGTTAAAATTATTACACAGCTCAAGCAAGCATATACCTTCCCTGTTTATAACCTTGTCTCTAGAGAGTCTTCCTATTTTCATTGAATGTGCAACACCATTGGTGGTATTCCAATTTAATACTCACCCTAGCATTAAATTGCTGGCTATCATTAATGATGTTTGGGTATCTATCAATCAAACTTTCAATGTAAAAGTTTAGTTGTGACCAATTCTCAACAGAGATATTACTTGATGGAGCAAGGAGGGATATTGACATTTATAAGCAGCAAAATATCATTTTTGGAAGTTAAAAGTAGAGCTTGTGCAAATGAAGAGATTTTTTTCTAACTGTTTGACTTCAAACCCTAGGGTGTCTTTAAACAGACCACAAAGCATTGCTTTAGGCCGGCCCTTGGAGTTAGGTTTAGATGCAGGGATCGTATAAGATCGTATAACTCCCCAAATGCATTTCTCATTCATACTCCATGAAGAGCACACTTTTTCTTTCTTTCATGCTTTAGGAGAAGGTGGTAGTAACTGATGATTCAGCTGGGAAAATCCTGGAATTGTAGTACATAGAGTGACTGAATGCTTGGTAAGTTTATAGTATCTGCCATTTGCATAGAAAAGGAGCATGAAACTGTTCTCCAAATATGTAACAGGAAGGTCAGCTTTGATCTTGTGTGATTTAGCAGGAAATCTAAGAAGTTTACTACAGGTTTCTATTTGTCGGTTCAGGGGAAATCCCACATATATATTGTAACATGATGTCGATCCTGTGTAAGCGATGTCAGGTATATAAACTAATATCACACATAATCTTCACACAGGATTTGTGTAATTCCTTACAGAAGTAACTTTTATATGAGAATTTTGTAAGTTGTGAAACAAGCTTTTAGTAAGGCCTGCACAGTATAGAGGCTGATTACTCATATTCCTGAATTGGGCCTTTCCTTTTTAACATCCCGGCTGCCATGTTGTTTGGATTGCCTTATGACAGCCACCTCTGTAATGACAGATGATGAAAAGAATGCTGTCTGACTTCTACGTAAAGTAAAAGTAAAAATAAAACAAATGATTGTCTTCCTTAGCAAAGAATACAGCAAGGGCAGTACGCCAATAAACTACGCACACTGGATGACTAACAGGGCTCCTACAATATCAGTGTAGGCAGGGAATGTGCTATGTTGCCAAAAAAGCACACCATAGGTGCTTCCGAATGCTTTTAGCCCCTTAATGCCTCTCTCAAAAATCAGATTTTGAGGAGAATGGTGCTCATTCATGCTTGAAAAACAATTTCGATAATAAATCATTTTTAAACTGGTGGCCTTAGATTTAGTCTAGATGGATCTATCTGAAGTCACAGGGCTAATTTTGCTTACCGTATTTTTCGCTCTATAACACGCACCTGACCATAACACGCACATCGTTTTTAGAGGAGGAAAACAAGGGAAAAAACATTCTGAATGAAACAGTGGATGTATCATTTTTGTGCTTCATGCTGTGGCCACAGACATGTGATCTGATGGTGAATTTGGGGTGACCCAATGCAAAAATCCTGAGAATTCCTGTGGATCCATGCTTTGTAACCACGTTTTTACACCATTGCAGCCCCAGGCAACAGTGGGTGCGTGATTTTTTGGGTGCAGGCTGTAGCCATGGACATGCTATGTGATCTGATGGTGAATTTGGGGTGATCCAATGCAAAGATCCTGAGAATCCCTGTGGATCCATGCTTTGTAACCACATTTTTGCACCATTGCAGCCCCAGGCAACAGTGGGTGCGTGCTTTTTTTGGTGCAGGCTGTAGCCATGGACATGCTATGTGATCTGATGGTGAATTTGGGGTGATCCAATGCAAAGATCCTGAGAATCCCTGTGGATCCATGCTTTGTAACCACATTTTTGCACCATTGCAGCCCCAGGCAACAGTGGGTGCGTGATTTTTTGGGTGCAGGCTGTAGCCATGGACATGCTATGTGATCTGATGGTGAATTTGGGGTGATCCAATGCAAAGATCCTGAGAATCCCTGTGGATCCATGCTTTGTAACCACATTTTTGCACCACTGCAGCCCCAGGCAACAGTGGGTGCGTGCTTTTTTTGGTGCAGGCTGTAGCCATGGACATGCTATGTGATCTGATGGTGAATTTGGGGTGACCCAATGCAAAGATCCTGAGGATCCATGTTGATCTATGCTTTGTAACCACATTTTTGCACCATTGCAGCCCCAGGAAACAGTGGGTGCGTGATTTTTTTGGTGCAGGCTGTAGCCATGGACATGCTATGTGATCTGATGGTGAATTTGGGGTGACCCAATGCAAAGATCCTGAGGATCCATGTGGATCCATGCTTTTTAACCACGTTTTTGCACCATTGCAGCCCCAGGCAACAGTGGGTGCGTGATTTTTTTGGTGCAGGCTGTAGCCATGGACATGCTATGTGATCTGATGGTGAATTTGGGGTGACCCAATGCAAAGATCCTGAGGATCCATGTTGATCTATGCTTTGTAACCACATTTTAAGCGGGGAGCGAAGGAAAAACAAAGAAGGGACATGAGAGGGGTGTGCAGAGAAGCAGCTGGCTAAGAATGCTGGAGAGGGATTTAACGGGTGGGAGGAAAGAAAGGCAAAAGTTCCCCCCCCCCAAGCCATCCCTCCCTCCCTCCCTCCCTCCCTCCCCCCTCTCTCTCCCTCACCCTCCCCCCTCTCCCTCTCCCTCCCCCTCTCTCTCCCTCCCCCCTCTCTCTCTCCCTCACCCTCCCCCCTCTCCCTCTCCCTCCCCCACTCTCTCTCCCCCAGCAGCACCGGAGCACAGAGAGGAATTAGAAAGAACGACACTCTGCTTGCCTGGAGGGGAGGGGCTTTCCCTGCTTTTTGTTCCGTTTCAGCAATCACAGCAACGAAACAGAGAAGGGTGGGCAGTAAGACCCTGAGGCAGAATGCAGGAAAGCTGCCACTTCCTCTTTTCAGGTTTCCCTTCTCCGTGACTCGCGATTTGACTTTTGCTTGATTTTTTGGCTCCAGGGACCATACATTCGCTCTATAACACGCACAGACATTTCCCCTTCCTTTTTAGGAGAAAAAATCTGCGTGTTAATAGAGGGAAAAATACGGTATATCTACATACAAGGCTGAAGACTGAACTGTACATTGTTGCTTCTTATTAGTTGAACAATGGCTTCTAAAGATAAATAGTTGGGCTTCTGAGCATGTGTTCAATTTTCTTTCACTGATAAACTATATGTAGTTCAGCAGTTGCTTCTAACAAATGCATAATAATGAAACCATTAAAAATAGCTAGGCATAAGAGGAGCATCCATAGAAAGTTACTTGTTTGATCTCAGAGTATAACTTCTTTCCCCGATGCAAGGGAGATAATTTGTTGTTCTATTATGTGCTTTGTTATACAAATGCATGTTTAGTGGTCTACACAAGTTGTGCTGTAAGTACCTCAATGCTATGTAAATAGTAGAGCCCATGAGTGGGAGGCAGGACACAGTACCTATCCACCACTACATATATTCCAAGTAACTCCCCTGTGTACAGAAAGCATGTGATAGAGGTGCCTGTGTGTTGAAGGTCAAAGTCTGCTAATGGAATGGTAAGTGACTATAAGGCCAGGAAAAGCCTGGGACCAACCACAGTCGGAAGGGAGTAGAAAAAGATGGTGTTTTAATTTAAATATCAAATTCTGAATTTTGCACATCCACAGATTTCCAATACAAAATTTGCTAGATTTAATATATGGGCAAAATTATTCCAATGCATTGGACTAATGGCTGAAATCACCAATAGTTTTTGTGTTGTCTGCTACTGCTGCAGTTAATTAGGGCTTGTTTTTCTATCCTCATTAATTCAGTTTAGAACTTGGAAATCCCAACGTCTTTCCCCACAAATGTTTAAAAGCAGAGCAGTCTCCCTTTGCTTAATTGAACACTATGATGCTCTGTCTCTGGCTCCAAGTTACCATGTGTGGAAAGCTAAACAAAAGTGTAGCATGAGAAATCTTCCCTGATAAAAATCAAAGGCAGGAAAAACTAAATCTCTAAACAACCCATTGTCAGGAATAGATTGTAAGAGAAACCTGAATGGGTTGTCTTGTATTTATTCCAGAGATTTTGGGGTTCTTACTGGATATGTACAAGGTCTGAGCATTGGAAGTGGCCCTTCTTCCTGCTCAGCAATGCACAAACAGCTGTGGCTTCCTAGTCCTGCCTGGAGATTCTGACTATTAAAACTGGAATCTTCTTCATGCAAAGAATGTTCTCTTCCACAGACCCTCGCTACAGTTTTCTACCAAGAGAATGACTTATCTTTTCAAGAAATCTTACAGAGGAAAATATATGATAGAAATTATGGAAGAGACATAGAAATAAAAGACTACACTTTGGAAAAGAGCATAAATTTTAGATGCCACCCACTGACCACTCTCCCCTTTCAGGTCCTTTGAAATAAAATAGTGGTTGCAACACAAGCAGTCGTTGCAGGATACAGTCCACCAATAACGTGGTCCAAAGGCCAATATTTTCCAGTTTGAGTTATCAACATTTGTCTCACTCATATCCACTGCAGTAGCTTTATGCTTTATACAGTTTTACATTGTTGTGATAATTTTCCTTAACCTTCTTAAAAACACTTGGTATTAGAACACACGTTGACACCATGAACAGAAATACAATCAGCACTAATCAAGTCCCCCTCCCAACCCCAACCCCCATGGTGCTACTGATGGTATTAAATGTTGTCTCCTT